GCGGTGGCTGGCCCCCGCCCTGTTCCCAGCCGGCAGGGCCAAGGGTGGGGATCAAACGCGCCATGGGCAAGGCGGGCAGGTGCCCAGGGAGGCAGAGAAGCACCTGGGCGCTGCCCTGAGTCCCAGAGCGGGGCCCGCACTGCCTGGGACGGACAGGCCTTGGGGGCAGGGAGCACCGCACAGGAAAGGAAAATGACCCAAAGATCCACTGTCCCATAGCGACTCAGGAGAGCGAGTCCCTGCCCTCGGGGGGGGGGATACAGCGGGAGGGGCCGTTACGGGCCGTCCCCGGGATCCTGACAGCGACCGACACCCTAGGGGAGAATAGAGAGAGACTGAAATCCTTTGACGGACAGGCCTTGGGGGCAGGGAGCACCGCACAGGAAAGGAAAATGACCCAAAGATCCACTGTCCCATAGCGACTCAGGAGAGCGAGTCCCTGCCCTCGGGGGGGGGGATACAGCGGGAGGGGCCGTTACGGGCCGTCCCCGGGATCCTGACAGCGACCGACACCCTAGGGGAGAATAGAGAGAGACTGAAATCCTTTGGAACCCCTCAGCAAAAACGGGGGGTCCAGCTACCCCCACCTGGGCCGGGCACTCACCTCAGAGCAGAGTGCAGAGAGAAAACACTAGACCTGGCAGGGAGCATGGAGTCCAGTCCCTGCCCTCACGGCAGGACCAAGCAAGTGGTTCCCAAACTTTTCGGCATCACGCCCCCTTTTGATTCCTGAATCCCCCACCCCCACCCTCCGCCCAAAATAGCACCAAAACTTGAGCAAAAAAAAAAGGAACTGACGGGGCAGCAAAACCTGATGGGGGGGCTGGATCACCTCACGCCCCCCCTGGAATTTCTTCATGCCCCCAGGGGGGCACGCCCCTCAATTTGGGAACCCATCTAGATCATCTCTGACAGGCATCTGTCCAACCTGCTCTTAACTATTTCTGGTGTTGGAGATTCCACACAGAACATGGCCAAGGGGGAGCCAGTGGATGGAGGTTACTTAGATTTCCAGAAAACCTTTGATAAAGTCCCTCACCAAAGGCTCTTAAGCAAAGTTAGTTGTCCTGGGATGAGAGGGAAGGTCCTTTCATGGACTGAGAACGGGTTAAAAGACGGGAAACAAAGGGTAGGAATAAATGGTCAGTTTTCAAACTGGAGAGAGGTAATTAATGGGGTCCCCCCAGGGTCTGTCCTGAGACCAGTCGTATTCAACCTTTTCCTAAATGACCTAGAGAAAGGGGGAAACAGGGAGGTGGCAACATTTGCAGATGATCCCAAACTGCTCCAGACAGTTAAGAGCAAAGCAGACTGCGAAGAGCTTCAAAGAATCGCACCAAACTAAGTGATTGGGCAACAACATGGCAGATGAATTTGAATGTTGATAAATATTGGGAGACGTGATCCCAACAATACATATAAAATGACGGGACTAAATTAGCTGTAAGAGAGAGATCTTGGAGTCATCGTGGAGAGTTCTCTGGAAACATCCTGCAGTGAGCGGCGGCCGTCAAAAAAGCAAACAATGTTCAGAATTACTAAAAAAGGGCTAGAGAATAAGACAGACACGATCTTATTGCCTCTCTATGCATCCAAGGCACGGCCACATCTTGAGTACAGGGTACAGGTGTGGTTGCCTCATCTCCAAAAAGATATGTTGGCACTGGAAAAAGTTCAGGAAAAGGCAACAAAAATGCTTAGGGGTTTGGAGCGGCTGCCATTAGAGAAGAGATTCATAAAACTGGGACTTTTCTGCTTGGAAAAGAGGAGACTGAGGGAGGATATGATAAGTCTATAAAATCACGACTGGATAATTATTTACTTGCTCCCATAATGTAAGAACTAGGCGTAACCAAATGAAATTAATAGGTTGCAGACTTCAAAGAAACAAAAGGAGGCATTTCATCACACAGCGCACAGCCAACCTGTGGAACTCCTCGCCAGAAGAGGTTGTGAAGGCCAAGACTTTAGCAAGGTTCAAAAAAGAGCTAGCTAGATTCATGGAGATTCTGTCCATCCATGGCTATTAGCCAGGGTGGGTAGGTCTGCCAGAGGCTGGGGATGGGCAGCAGGGGAGGGGTCACTGGATGGTTCCCGGTTCTTTTCACTCCCTCCGTGGCACCTGGCAGTGGCTGCTGTGGGCAGACAGGACCCTGGGTGGGATGGACCCTTGGTCTGACGCAGTCTGGCCGTTCTTCTGACCAGTGTCCTACAGGTCAGACTAAGTTCTCTGACAGTCTCCCCTTGCCCACTACTCCCCTTAATCCCCTGCAGCCTGGCCCCCCCTTTCCCGCCCGGTTCTTTTCACTCCCTCCGTGGCACCTGGCAGTGGCTGCTGTGGGCAGACAGGACCCTGGGTGGGATGGACCCTTGGTCTGACGCAGTCTGGCCGTTCTTCTGACCAGTGTCCTACAGGTCAGACTAAGTTCTCTGACAGTCTCCCCTTGCCCACTACTCCCCTTAATCCCCTGCAGCCTGGCCCCCCCTTTCCCGCGGCCC